ATTTGTAGGGATTCTGCGGCGTGTGGCATTTGAGAAAAGTTTGTTAGTTGGTTTTTTGTTATTTCGTGTTGTTGTAATCAATATGGTAGTGGGATTTCATTATGCATCTGAGTTGATTGTTATGAATGTGTATTAACTAGATTTTGTTGTTGAAAATTATTAATGTAAGATGTTGGATTAGTTCTAGATTGTCCTATTTGTTCATTTCTTGTGTATGGTTCAAAAATATCCGGTTAATCAATACTGTAGGAACAATGTTTTTGGTTTGAGGAAAATTGTTGATGATTTTGATTATAGTATTCATCATCATCTGATGAAAATTAATTTTGTGCGTAATGATGAGGTTGGTTTTTAGTATGGTATTTATTTGTATTGTTTTTACGTTGTGAAAAAATTGGTAGTTTCCATTTTGTTCTTGTAAGGATCGTGGTTGATCGTGAAAATTTACTGAGTTTAAAATTGGTGGTGGTACATTTTGACTTTGTGCAAAAATTTGAGTGTTTGTTTTAGTCTTTGTTGTTTCGGTCCATTGACATAATTGTAATTGTGTTCTGCAAAATTATTTTTGTGTTGTTTGTATGATGGTTTTGTTACTGGTCGAAACGTTTGGTAATCCATCTGTGAACATTTTTGTCCAACAGAGGGTTTTACTGTGGATTATATGATTGTTTGTTGTAACGTTGGATTTTTTAGTTTTGGAGTTGTAAAATTTTGTTGAATAGGTGAAATGCTTCGTTCTGCTTCTGTTGTTGTTATTGTTTCAACAATTTCTTTGTTTACAAAATGTGATGAGGTTTGTATATCTTGTTTAGGATTTCCTGTTCCGTTTAGAGTATTATGATTTATGAATGGGGAATTTAAACTATTATTTCCTGTTCTTTCAGGGAAGAATGAATTGTAGTTTAAAGGTGTTGCGTCAACTGTAAGTGGATATACTCTAACTTAATCTTCATTAATAGAAATAGTGCTAATTGCCTGACTTGATATATCTGTTGGTATAATATTAAATAATTTATATATAGGCTGATTGTTCTGCTAGTACAGTTTCATCATCTGTACTTTGTGGTCGAATATTTTTTCTTGCTTGTTCAATAAGATCAATATTGTGACAAAGTACTCGACTATGAACCATGCTAAGATGTTTTGTAAATCGTGTTTAAAATTTTGTGTTATTTGATCATTTGTTAGGTTTTCTCGAATTGCGTTTAAATTTTTTGAAAATTTGTGTAATTCTTGTCTTACAATTGTATGTCGAGATGTTTGAGTAGGTGAATTGCTTTGGGGTTCATCCAACTCTAATATAGATAAATAGCTATAGATATGTGAGCATACGTCGATTGTAAATATCGAGTTTGCTCTTTGTGAGTTTTGGTGTTGTATGTTTTTGATGTATTGTAAAAAAAATTTTGAGAATTCAATATCTACATCGTCAGTTTGAATGAGATATCTGTCATGAAATGCATTTGGTGATCTTATTTATTGTGTAGATTCCAAAGTGTGAAGTGAGACAACATATACCTTTGATATAGTGATCGAGAAGTTGTCTTTTGATTTTTACATCTTGAAGTTCTTTTATGCACGGGCTTTCTCCTTTTTTGAATAAGTTTGCAGTTAAATTTTTACAAAATTCTATTTATCCGCGAGGTTCAGTTAATGGTGATATTAAAAACAAAAGTACCGAATTTGCGGAGTTATCTTCATTTCGAATCATTTTTGTGTTGTATTACTGTTAATGTGTAATTTTCAATGTGTCTTATTGGTTGATTCCCATTGTACAAACGTATTGGTTTATTTCGTAGCAAATTTTTATTTTCCGTTTGCCTTTTACTGATGCTTGTGATGTGGTTTCTGAATCTGAATCTGTGAAATATAATTGATCGTCTATTTGGTGATTTTTGTTTATTGAGTCTTTTAAATTATGAAGTTTCTGTATTGCGGTTGTTTCTGATTCTGAGACTGCGTTTCTTTGTTTTGAAAATCTTTTCCTAAAAATTTGTTTTTGTTTATTAATTATCTCTTTTTTTAGTGTTTTCCTTTTGTTCTTATATATCCGACTGATTTTCTGTGTGGTGTAATTACGAGGTCGTATTTCTCGTCGTTAATTAAACAATTGTGTATTACGATTGTTTGTTTATTTCCTAAATTGTCTCTTGACATAAGGGTTAGGATGATGGGTCCACAATCTGTATTAGTGATTCTAATGCCTTAAACTGTTAGTTCTTACAATTTTTTGTGGTTAGCTTAACTTGGATCGTGTATTTGGTTTGGAGAGAAAGCTTATATTGATTCCGAAGAATAATTTGTACTTTCTTGTGACCATTTCTAAGCTAAGATTTGACCTACCTTATCTTACTCAGGGGTTGTGATTTGTGATCAAGGGTTGGAGAATAGTAAATCGATCCACAAGGTTCAGGTATAAATAGAACGCAAGTAGTTCGTTAGATGCTATTTTTCGACTTACTAAGCTTAAGTGTTTTAGCTTGGATCATCTAAGAGTAGAGGGATCAATTGAAGAATGAGTAACCAAAGTTCTTTACTGTTTAGCTTAATTAAATAATTAGTTTTTCGAAAAGTTTCTGTTAATTCTGGATTTTTGATAAGGTTGGGTAGTGAATCGACGTTTGAGGTCGTTAGACACTAAATTAATGTGGAGGGGGAGAGTAAAATTGTTCTACTTGATCCAAGGATAGGCCTTGATAATCAGAAATTTAAATCTTTAGAAATTTAAAATTTAAGTTATAATTTAATTTAAAGACCCAAGGGAAGCCTTGATGATCTGTTATTTAAATGAAATTAATTTAAGTGAAAGTAAGGATAAGCCTTGATAGTTTAAAATTAGAGCGTTAAGGTTAAATGTTAGTTTTGATGAATGTTAATTTTTGAAATTCGCTGTTGTGTTTTAGGTGATGAAGCTGGAATGATGCGATGAATTATAATACTAACAATTTATGATTTTTACTAACTAATTTTTGTATTTTTATGTTTAATAAATATTTTTTCAAGATGTCATTTAATTTACAGGTGATTTAAGGAAAACGACAAGTAGTATCCTAAATACAAAAGTTTGATCTCGTTTTTGTCGTATTATCATAAAATCAATTGCAGATTTTTTCCTAGTCCAATGTCGTTTCTTGTTCGACGTCTTCTTCTAATACCGGGTAGTTCTCGTATTGTTCGGAATATTGGCAACTTCTTAGTCTAATACCAATCTTAATCTTACTCTTATATCTCCTAGTCTCAATAGATCTAGTGTACACCGGTTTAAGCGAGTTAGTTCCAGAATGAGAACAACTGTATTCTAAGTTTAATTCAAATTGTTTTGGCGTTGAAACTACAAGTAGTTTCAACTTTTACAAATAAATGGGTTGTTAGTTTGATGGAGTATGATTGGTTAGTATTTTATTTTTTATAGAGATAAAATATCATAATAATAACCAATGATAAATACTAGTTTAGATCTGGTTGCAAAACCTTTGACAAACCAGTAAAAACGTTGTCTACTTAATTAAAAACAGACAACGAGTAAAAAGATATTTTACCTGCGATCGTTTTGCTTAAGATATAGCGTTTTGAAAAATGCCAGATTTGATTTATTTTGGACTAATTTAATTTCATACAGATTAAATTAGTCCAAAACAGTTTTCATCAGATAAATTCTCTCAATTGTTTTTATTGCTTTATCTATTATACAACTACATCTCTGATACCTTGATACCTCTACAGAAGATTGTTTTACCCCGGTTATTCATCAAATTTGCTTGAAATATATACATCTTTTAGATGAAAAACGCTGTATAAAATTTGGATAAATTGTACTGGCAATTCTTTATGACTGTAAATTGGAATATACACACATAAAAAAAATTGAAATTTAGCAACAGCTCAATTTAACGATACAACAACACCTCAATTTAACGATACAAATGTCTTTTAACGTTTTGTGCATTCCACAAACTGTTCTGGATTCTGCAAATACGGCTGCGGATTTCGCAAATTCGCTTATCTTTGGAGCGATTTTGAGCGGTACAATGTTTTAATTAATTGTTTGTGGAATCCAAACCAGCATAGAAGATCAAAGAAAAGTAGCAATGTTGCGGATTCCGCGACAAATCTGATTTTGGCCTGTTGCGGATTCCGCTTAAAATGCACAGAATGCACAGTTTGGCCTCGTAATGGACCGACTTATATATTCCATTACAACCCTATCAACGAGGCTTTCATGTCTTTTTTTAACCCGTTGTCAAAACTTTGCTTTTGTAACAAGTATGAACAGGGTAGCATTTCGTATGTGTTATTGTTCCGACTTTCGATACGAAAGTAACGGAATATTTGTGCTCGGGGTGGGTTTTTTTTCTTCAGACAAATTTCGACTTTTTAACTAGCCATTTTTGACGGAATTTTTTTATATCATTCAAAAGGTATTGTTGTCCTGAGCTCAAATTTGAAACGATTTTTCACCTTTGATCATTTTTCGCAAAGTTATGGGGGTTTAAAGATTGCCATTTTGGTCAAATTGGGACAATTAACGCGCGATATATTTCGCGCTATAAACGCGTAAGCGAAGAGTTAATCCGTCTTAAAATCGTTCCAAATTGGGTAAAAGAAGCTTATTTGCCATAATTGATTGGTTACAAGGAGCTAAATCTATCTTTTTGTACTTTAAATGGCGTGTGGGGGGATGATTTTCATAAAAAAATTCAAATTTATAAAAAAAAAATTTTAAATTTTATTACATTTAATTTTTTAATGTTATTACTGCTCCATAAAACCTTAAAAGGCAGTCGGAACATTCAGGGCTTCGCCCTGATACGAGCAGTCTTGTTTTTATTTGGTTGAATCTGTAACAATTTTTATGTTTCGTTTTGAACAAGAACTTCAAAGTAACTATACTTCAGTGATAGAAACTGCGTAAGCGGAACTCTGTGTCGAATTCTACAGTAGCAGGCAATAGGACCGTGAAAATAAGAACATACCGTCAATCCATATAAGTCCCAATATGAACGCAGGTAGCACGGTTCCTTGAAACAAGTTGCATTTGGAACCCAAATTGCTCATAGCGTATGGAACAAACTTTGTCATTGAAGCAAAAGTAAAACCTGGAAGGAGTCAGATCTATTTTATTTGCATAGATTCGTACTTTGTTTGTATTACTTACATTATTCTGATCGAGTCTAGAAAAAAAATGAATTTCCAACAATAATGGCTCAAATTCTTACGTCCACTTTGATTTGCCTTTTCATTTTAAACTCCTTTTTAGGTAAGTTTTTATGCCTTTTTGTGCTATAAAAAACATTTGCGTCTACTTTATTTTTTTCAAAACCTTCAAAATAATTGACTTTCTCGACTAAAAATGGAGATGTTACTGAGTGCCTTCGCCAGTCTTTTCAGAAACAAATCTTATTCAATATCTTTCAAAAAAAATTTAAGGAAATACAGTATTTTGTATTTTTGTTGCAAAATATTCACGATTTGCTTTCGTTTTGCAAAAACCTTGTGCAAGTATATTTAGTGACATTTGTAGTTTCAGCTTAGTCTCTAGCAGATACTTAACAAATTTTTAAAGCGGAGATTGTTGAATAACAAATCCCCTATTTGATTTAAAATTTCGCATGAATTTGTGCAACTTTCTCATGTTCCCTTTATATATACAAGACTTTGGAAAATTTTCAAAATATTTAGATTACAGCTATAGTTTGAAAAATAATATGACTAAGTACTGACATTTTTTACCACTAACTGTTCGTAAAAGTGTTGGCGGAGAAAAATTAAACTTGAAAAATCAAATAATTGAGTCAGTTTATTATATTAAAACTACTCAGTGAACATCTTCCTGGCTCAAGAAATGCAAAAATTGCAAAATTCTTGCAAGATTTGAAATGACCAAAAATTAAAACTTTATGTTCACAGAAGTTCCCATTTTTGGCTAGATTTTCATGCATTCGAAGAAGTTCTGAAAAGTTTGCATCAAGAGTATCAGGATTATGATCGAATATATGATTGCAGAAATATGTATGACCAAGACGAGGAGTTCATAAGAAAATTACTCGAAAGAATGAAATATTTTTTTCAAGTTGTTATAGTTTAAAATTTATCAAAACAAGAAGATTAGAGTTAAATCTTGAAATATATATTTATCTGAGTAATAATCAGAAGATTTTAATATAAATTTTGTTAATTTTCAGATTTTTCAATTCTAATTATAATTGACTGTTGAAAAAATTGAAAAAAGCAAACTCAGATTTTTGACAAAATTGAAACTTTTATACATCATCTACGTGGTTAAAGAAAGCAAATTTTGCCAGTATCTTGCAAAGTTCTTGCACCATTTGCGCTCCAACCTTGCGAGATATGCATTCTGAAAAAAATACCAATACAAAAAAGTAAAACTGTCAAAACATTTGGATATTAATTTGATTAAAGTAAATAGGGGTAATCTGATATATGCTAGTTTTTTGTGGAAGCACAATGAAACATCAGAAAACTATAGCAAAATTATGTTTTGCAATATTCTTGCAAGAATATGAAAATATTTGAATTTTAAGTATACTATGGCCTGAGGAACGTAAACCAAAATCCGCGGCTGAGGTGCTCTAACTATTTATTGACCAAAAGGATTGACCGATTGCCAACTTTTTGACTTAAATTATATAATAATGGACCAAAAACTTCGGCCGGAAGAAGTTTGATATATATGTTAACTAAGTCGACATATAAGTCGACAAGGCTGGTCACGGTAACCGCGTTGAGACATGATTCGATCCAAAATTGATTCGACTAGCTGAAAAACTTAAATAATTTCTAGGTTTTTGAAAAAAAATATAGCAAGATAAGCCGGGTCGAGCTCAATTTTTTTTTCGAACCTTAAAACTTGGTATGTTTATTTTTCGAACGACCAAAAATGGGTATGTTTCGACCTTTCTCGACCAATTTCGGGTATGTTTCGACTTTCAAACAACATAAGTTATCCAAGTTTAAATTTTATTATGTATGCTTTTCGGGTAACATCTTATCATTAGAAATACTTGCAATTTAAGTTTTTTGTAAGAATGAACGAACTACTATATTTGAGCTTTTTTTTCCATTTTTTGAAATACTGGTCTGCAGTTTGAGTCGAAAATGTTTAAAAGTACGTTGATATTTGAAAAAAAAATTCTGTGACTCCGCATTGCCGCGGAACAATTGTTTTTTTTTCGACCGTGGTCGAGGTATGTTTTTACCGTGCTCGAGGTATGTTTCGAACGTGCTTGAGTTATGTTTCGAATTTGTGCTCGACCCAATTCCCTGTATCGGTCGAGAGCTGAGATGTGCTTGAACTTTAAAGTGAGCTACTCGACCCGGGATCGGACGTCTGGCCTTTTTTGGTTCATTCAACTACAAAAATTTACCATGAAGCACAGTTTTCCTAAAACTCCCAAAACATATGAGGGTAGGTGAAAAATGGTTCACCAGTCTAAACATCAGTCTTCAAATTAGCCCAAAAGCCTAAAATTATATGCTTACATTTTGGAAAAAAAATAGAAGGAAAAATTTATTGACGTCTAATTGAATCCACGTTCAAAAAAATACTTTTCGAAACAGTTCAGAGAATAAACTAAAGCAACTTCATTAGAGCAACCTAAAGTAACCTAATTATAGCAAAAAAGTACAAGCGAGGCCCAAGAAAGTCGACCCAAGAAAGTCGACCACGAAAGTCAACAGGGTTGAGTAAAGCCAATGAAAGTCGACCAGGGTTGTCCAAGTTTAACAAAGCAAAGTGCACTAAAACGGACCAAAATGAACCAAAACAGACCAGAGACAACAACGGTCCTTGTTCAACTCACTGAGTCGACAGTGGACATCGTTTGACCTACGAAGTCGAGAGCGGTCAATGGTCCTCTCATACGGTCTCGACAATCAATGGTCCTCCTGGACCGAGCAAAGTCAAAAACATTTTTCATTGGTTTTATAAAGTTTCACCATACCCAAACTTGATTGAGACGGTCGAATTATACCAATTTTTGTCATATTTAAAATATCATTCGGACAAATCGACGGGGGTTAGACAGACAAGCTTCCTTTTGAAATCAAAATAGTTATAAGTATTGTGTACTATCGTTCAGTACATTTTATGCTAGATTGCGTGGAGGCGGAGACTGTGCTGAGTAAGGCACGTGAATTGGAGGGGGAGTTGTTTGAAAACTACAGACGCTTCGTCAAGCCCAGAGACAACCAGACACATCCGGTGGACGTCAAGTACTCGGCTGTGGTCCAGCAGCTGGTCGATGTCGAAGTGGAGACACAACGAGTCACTCTAGGTATGACTAAAAGAGTTGTAGACGGTCTTTTCGAATTCATTTTTGCCTGATTATGCTTCTTCACAAATAGCCAATGGATTGATAATTATTACGAGAAAATGTACACTAGTTTTTTTTCGTTCGTTTTTGTTGGAAAATTACATTTTTTTTGTTTTTGCTAGTGCAAAACAAACAATCAAGTATAGCTCACGTCTGTGCTCTCAATAAGCCAATAGCATCAGTGCAAAACTAGCGCTTCCCTTCTGCATTGGTTGATATTAAATATGAAAAAAGTTAACCCAATTTCTAGACTAAGAATGCTTTCAGTGTTCTGGATGAGCATGATGTGGTATGATGACTTCCTCAAGTGGGATCCGGTTCAGTTCAAAGACCTCCGAAGTGAGTCAGACGATTTTTGTAATACCCGCACCGAAGTTTCTTGGATAAAAATAGATTATATTGAGAAAATGTTGCCGAAAATATTGCCATTATAATCGATTATGTGTAACCAATTTAAGCAACATTTTCTATTATAATAGAAAGAAAATAGATTATTTTCATCAAGAATATATTGCCTTATAATTCCACTAAAATGTATTTTTATCTCCACATAATCTCAATAAAATCTATTTTTTTGCCCTGAAATTGCCATGAAATCGCAATAAAATCGATTGTTTTTGCCATAAAATTGCAATAAAATCTATTGTTTTTGCCATAAAATTGCAATAAAATCTATTGTTTCCGCCATAAAACTGCCATAAAATTGCAACAAAAACTATTGCTATCGCCATAAAATTGCAATAAAATCGATATTGTTGTCAAAAAATTTGATTATTTTGTCAGAAAAATTGATTTTTCTCTTCTTAAAAGCATGCTTGGCTATTTTCGCCTCGAAAAGCGACAAACTATTATTAAAATCAACGGCGAAATTTTATTGTGACCAGGGGCGGATGCTCTTTCCCTCAGGGATTCGTTTGAACTAGTTTCAACTAGTTTGAGATATCCATTTTGGTGACGGACCCTAAAATCCGCTCCCCCTCGAGAAAATCCTAGATCAGCCCCTGTTTGTAACCGCTTTTGGAAATTGAGAAAAAGTTGAATGTGTAAGGAGGATTTCGCAAGAGTTTAGCTGCCTCAAAAATGCTTTGACGCACGATGCCTAGTGTAGTTTCATATAGTTTTAATTTCGATT